ATTTCACATTGAGAGAATTCAGCTGCCTCGGCAGAGGTCTGTGCTCTCTGAGTGATCTAGTTCTACATGCTTTTCAACTTTCTAGACATTTCCTAAACAAATTTATTTGGTCACAAGCAATATTTTTTAGGTCAGGACTGCAAATAGTAATCGTAAAAGCTATAAGTTATAACATTTATTGAGCATAATTGTCGGTAGGATAACAGAGCGAGCTTTTGCTATCTACTGAGTGTCAGCTTCCACACCCAGCGTACGACACCAACTACCAACCACTGACATGTTACCCCAGCATACGACACCAACTACCAACCACTGACATGTTACCCCAGCGTACGACACCAACTACCAACCACTGACATGTTACCCCAACATACGACACCAACTACCAACCACTAACATGTTACCCCAACATACGACCCTAATCACCAACCACTGCCTACTGCCGCACCCTCCGACTACAGCCTAACGCCTTCTTACCTCTGACCCCAGCTCACCCTCGACCCTGTGACCGTACTCCCTGACCCCTGGTCTACAACCCCCATCATTGACCCAACCCTACCATCCTCTTACCTTTGACCCCAGCCTACGACTTCACTTTCTGATCTGAGCCTACTACCCTACTCTCTGCCCCAAGCCTAAAATCCTCGAACGTCTGACCCCAAGCCTACCATGCTATACCCTCTCAACCCAGCCTACCATGCTATACCCTCTCAACCCAGCCTATAGCATGGTACCCTCTCAACCCAGCCTACCATGCTATACCCTCTCAACCCAGCCTACCATGCTATACCCTCTCAACCCAGCCTACCATGATATACCCTCTCAACCCAGCCTACCATGCTATACCCTCTCAACCCAGCCTACCATGCCTTACAACTCTCAACAGACCTTACCAGCTATACCATTCAATCCCAGCCTACCAATTTTTTTTTTTTTTTGCCCCTCAAACCTCTCAACCCAGCCTACCATCTATACGCCTCTCACCCAGCCTACCATGTGGTATACCCTCTAACCCAGCCTACCATTGCTAGTTACCCCTCTCAACCCAGCCTACGATACCCCTGACACCTGTCTACCACCATAGCCTGTGACAGCGAGGCGAGCCGAGATACCGATGGGACATGTTATACGTGAGCAGCGAGCAGGAGCAGCAGTACGCGAGTATAGTAGCAGCAGCAGCAGTAGTAGTAGTTAGCAAGCCGAGCAGCAGCAACAAACACAGCAGTAGCAAACAGAACGAAGCAGCGAAGCAGGCAGCAGCGAGCCATTACAGCAGGCTAGTTAGCACAGCAGCAGCAGCAGTAGCAGCGGAGTAGCAGCAGCAGTAACAGCGAGGCAGCAGCAGCAGCAGCCAGTAGCAGCAGAGCAGCATCAGCAGCAGCAACAGCAGCAGCCAGCAGCGGGGTGCTTAGCAGGCCCAGCAACTGTACGCCCAGGCCGAGGCAGCAGCAGTAGCGAGCAGCAAGCAGCAGCAGTAGCAGCCGAACAAACAGCAGGCAGCCAGCAGCTGCAGCACTGTAACAGCCACAGCAGTAGCAGCAGCAGCCAGCAGTAGCAGCAGCAGCAGCAGTAGCGCATAGCGCAGCAAGCACAGCATGCCAGCAGGCAGCAGCAGCCCAGTAGCAGCTAGCAGCAGCTAGTAGTAGTAGTGCAGCAGCAGATAGCCAGCAGCCGAGTCAGCCAGCAGCTATCAGCGAGCAGCAGTTAGCACCAGCAGCAGCAGCAGCAGAACAGCAGCAGCAGCAGCAGCCAGCAGCGCGAGCAGGCAGGGCAGCAGCCAGTAACAGCAAGCAGCGCAGCAGCAGCAGCAGCGGGAGCAGTTACAGGCAGCAGCGCAAGCAAAGCAGCAGCGCAGAGCAGCGAGGTAGCAGCGAGCAGTAACAGAGCAGCAGTAGCGCAGTAACAGCAGCGCGTAGCAGCAGCAGCGCAGGCATAACAGGTCAGCCGCAGTAGCAGCAGCCAGCAGCAGCAGGCAGCAGTAACAGCAGCAGCAGCAGCAGCAGCAGCAGCAGCAGCAGCAGCAGAGAGGGAGCGGCAGGCTATCGTGGCAGGAATGTGCGGCCGTGTTTGCCCCGGCTCTCCACACAGCTGTATGCATGCACGCGCGCGCGCGCGTCTCAAGTGCTGCTCGCAGAGGAAACGCTCGCATATTTCGCCACAAAAAGCAAACAGTAGATTTGATGTCTACCTGCCCCCCTCCCTCCACACACACTGATCTCCCACCCTCCCGCTCCCACGCATGCACAACGCGTGTGGGGCCATGATGGTATTACTCGCGGGAGAAGGGAAGTGTTTACTCAGTGGACAGAGAGACGCACAGGTAAGGGCGTAGCAGCCCTCCTGCCGCACACTTCTCCCCGACGTTGCCCGCTCTGGTCAGGATTACACTCCCGAGGACTTCATGCGGGGAAGCGCAAACGTTCATGGCACTTTACGAAGAGCGAGGTGCGTACGGACAGCGCAGCTGGTCTGCCACAAAACAGCCTATATGAAACCCCAGCATCCCCAGTTGCATTACCTACATATATGTACATCAGGAGTAGATAATAGGATTTCCCTATTATCTACTCCTGAAGTACATCTATCATATATACCATGTATGTGCAAGATCAAGATTGACGAATAACGTTATCTTGTCAGGAACACATGATAGCAGAGTAAGACACAAAACAAAGGAAAGTCCACATTTCCTAGCACTGTGATTTAGAATATAAGTCCTAACATACTATTTACGCCTGATGGCATTAATGTTCGTGGCGTACTGATGTACGTATGTGTCCATACACGCCTGTACGCCAGGGTAAGTAAGATCCAGCTGCTAGTGTAGGCAGGCCGGGGCAGCAAGCAGCGCCGGGGACACCCAAGTGTCCGACTACTTTTCCACTTCCTCGATGACATAAAAAAAGTTCATCCATGTTTGTTGAGACCATTCTGAATGCGAGATGAGTCATAAAAAAGCAATAAAGCTGCCGCTTTTCACGCGAACAATGGCGGAACCTGACACTGTCAGACAAGTCACATCTTCACGCTTTCGCACTCAGACTGGAAGATTCCTCCAGGCTGGCAAACCTTGAGGGCAAACGATAGACACGTGGTGGAAATGCACGGATCTGAGGCGCATTTATAAGCCGACCAGCTCGAGTTCTAGAATAGTCCCAGATAAGAATAGCGCGGGGGGCGTGCCTTGTCACCTGCTAACAAATCCGGCGATCATGAGGCAGGAAGTGTCACAGCTCGACCGACTAACGTCACCAGGCCGCCGAGTGTCAACGCCGAGCAGTAGGTGACAATCACGGGATAACAAATTACCATATGATTTACGTGTCGATGCGAATAACACCATAACCCAGATCACGTAATAGCCTTAAACCCGTGCTCTACCCTGCGAGGGACGCCTTGTCAGTGTTTCTGGTTCAGGCACGACGTAAACAATCTGCCTAAAATACTACTCAATTCCATTTGAAGACTATATATTTTAAGAAACTTGTGACGAAACGGAAATCAGGCCCACCTCACCTAACCACATATATTATGTACCAATACAGTACATTTTACTCAAAATGAAAGGACGATCACTGGTTGTGTTACACACGCATTCGGAACAACCTCTGTTTCAAGAAAATGAATACATGATGGGGTGTTCCTGCAGGAAATACCAATAGAAGCGCGCACAACAGAATCAAGCGAACTTACGTAACTGCCATGTGTCAAATCGTGAAAGAATAATGAAATTAGCAGCTAGGGACAGTGAATGATAGACGCATGAGGACAGTGCGAAGCTATCCAACTAACATGATACTATCATAACGATCCTAACATTCTTCATAACGTTGCCTGATCATGTGTAAAGATGCATTCGTTTTTGCGCGACAAGGTTAACGACTAAACGCAGCAGCGGGTCAAGAACGAGAAACACTAGCATACTAGCATTAACCGAGTTCTATAGTTTTCTCTCTGGTCTAGAAACCTAGGCCGAAGGTCACAATCGTTGCCCGACTACATTCACGTTACGTAAAATGGTACAAAACGGGTACTGGTAAAACTCCACTGTAAACTATATAGTTGCTATATAGTTGCGGGTATAACATCTCACAGAAATAGCACAGTGTGGGAGTTGTAAAACCCTCAAACGTATGCACTAGACCATTTTACCAGGAAGTTGCTACCTAGTGGAAAATTAGGCATGTTGCTAAAACTGCTCCAAATGTTTTGTTTCCAAAAATATAACGCGGTTGTTCTCCGTTGTCATTCGGCCGAATAGCCTCCAACGCTCAAACGACGCTTAGCGGACAGATTTCGTCTTAAATTATGCACGGCACTTCCTACGTGTTATGGCCTTCCAGTGTAAATCACCCTCCCTCTCATGTTCCCGCATTAACACGGAAATGCTCACACATTCATTCTTCATTCAGCGTGCTTTCAGCTCTACAACGCCGAGAGCCGCATAGTGAAGGCACAGTGCAGCAATTCACGTGTGTGGCCGTGTACAGAAACATCACAATCACATCCTATCCTACTCCCTAGCTGGCACAAATGACAGAATAATACCTTACTCCCTAGCTGGGACATGTGACGGACAATATCCATCCGTTTCCCTAGATGGCACTCATTCTTACATCACCTACTGGTTGTGGCTACTGCTGCCGACACAGGGAGAGCACACTCATGGTACGAGAACACATCAGCCCACCTCCTCCTTTTAGAACGCATATATATATCAGAGTTCTCCAAGCTTTTTCATTATAGCATGGGGGGTGCTGCCTTTACGGTGCTAGTTGCAAATCGCCGAAGGCGGTTTGCGTGCTAGGGGGGTCCGGGGAATGCCCCCGGAAAATTTTTGAATTGTAGAAGCTTTGAGATGCAATCTGGGACACTGTGTGTAAATTTGAAGCACTGCATGTGGGGTGAAAATGTTTGTTTTGCATGAGCAAAGCAATCGGAAAATTCAAAATAATAATAAAATAAAAATAAGATGAGCTAAAAATACGCTCGTAGCGTTGTCGAAGTAGGGGCAGGTAATCCAGTCTATACCTCGTGTTAATAGAGAAATCAAAGACGTTCGAATTATTCACAGCTCCGTTTATTCCCTCCCGAGAATTGAAACACAAGGTAAACTAGTAGGCTTTCTGCATATCACTTCAAAGTTTATTCCGATATAAACAACGTGTATTAATTGTTTGAACTTCTTGTGTATACACCAGCTATGGCGCTATGATATTTAGAGTGGCAGTACGTGATTTAGGCAGTGGCCCGGGCTCGACGATAGCGTGGACAGGCCGCCAGGCATAAGTGCCTTGAAAGCCTGTTATTATATTATAGTTATATAATATTATATTATATATAATATATTTATGTAGGGAAGTATACGAAGTAACAACATATGATAAGAGACATAAAACATGAAAATGATGGCCCTGACCCTACATTAAGACTATAGTGCATATTCATATATATATCATATATGCTTAGATAACAATGACACCTGATAAACATGTTAGAAATTTAAACATACATAAAAGAGAATTACAAGCAGAATACTATAAGAATTAGAAATTATAATTATAATTATAATTAGAACTAAAATTAGAAACAATAATTATTATTTCGCAGACTGATATCAAGTCCCTGTGGGTAAGCCCACATTGACTGTACAGTTAACTATAGTACCTGATATATACCTATAGTTAATAGTAGTAACCTGATATCAAGTCCCTGTGGGTAAGCCCACATTGACTATGCAGTTAACAGAATCAGTCTAAGTAAGTATTTCATTGGCTTAATTTCATTTCTTCTATGATGTGCTAACACACAAGTCTACTGACTAGTTTAAAAACATGAACCACGTGTTATCATATAGCAGCAGTCACCTACCGAATAGTTTATACAACAGTGGTGCTGCGTGTAACAGCAGCTGAATACTGCAACAGCTGAGAACTGTGGGCATGCTGGGGTTACCCATTGTGTAAAAATGCCTAGGAGCCAGTCTGCTCTTTGAGTAGATCCTAATGACAGTGGCAGGGCGTGAGCGTGTGCACTCCCCCGGGCATCCCTGCATGACAGACACCGTCTCCCTCGCTAACTATGCTGCTGAAAATACCATCTGTATATATATATACGCAGCCAAAGATTTTCCGAGCTGTGCTTGTCTACGTGTGAGAGTTCCATATATATATATTCGCCTCCATTTATGTTCCTAACTGCCTATTCACGTATGGTATTTCCATGTACACTTACTTCCCTAGACTTACCTTGATGTCTGTCTAGGGGGTCATAATGCTGACAGTATTGCCACCACATATTTATCTAGCTGATGGTACACACATGGTAGGCAATTTACTGTATTATTCTACAACACATTTAGTACCAGCGACAACATACCAAAGTGGTACTATACGTATTTAATTTATTATATTAAATAGGCAAAACACTATTCCTATATGCTTTGTTTAGCAGCATGTACTTGCCCGATAGTCGTAGTAACGAGTTGTGTTTGTGAGATCAATCACTAGGCCTAGACAGCGGCCCTCCAAATCTGCCACTTTCTTTTGTAAACAGGCCGGTGTGAACCTGAGGGTGAACCAATGCAATCGAATTACCACAACAAAACAGAGCGATGAAGACTGTCAAACACAGTTAAATCGAATGAAACTGAATATGTAATTGATGCTTGGCCACAAATAGCTTCATTTTTGTGAAAGTGCATCTGATAACGAAAACTAACTGCAGTAAATCACAGAATTATCAGTTTTGATGTATATAAATGTGTCACATTACTGATTTATTTACATACCATAATTCATCTGAAACCTGCATACACAGCTCCTAATGACAACAAAGCAGAGATAGGGTAAACACACAGGGTATAGCAAGCTCAATATAGATTCAATGAAAAGATGCATGCATGGTCAATCTAGTGATAATAAAATGCAAATATTATAGTCTGTTACATATAGAGCAATATTTATACCTATAATATTATAGAATTGCTACCATATTCTCGTGAATATGAAGATATTATGAATAACTGTAAATATTACATTAGGCTGGCAATTACATGTACATCGGTGTTGTTCAGTTTTTCAAACATTTGTGTTAAATAAAGCATCAAACTACCTATGTACGCTAAAGGTTCTATGTAACGGGTCTTTACCTAATATAGGGGGCAGCACTATCCAGCAGTATTTCTAACATCAGGGTCATAATAACAGGAATGTATAATAATATCAGGAGTAAGATAATATAAGATTACTCCTGATAATATCTGTATATTCCCTAGTAATAGAGATATATTATATATACTATATTATACACTCCTGCTAATAATACATGCTACCACGTAGGTACATTAGGTACAATGAACTGATGTATACACCCTGTATACAAAACTCTAGTAATCATATTTCTCACTTACATGAAAGTTAAATACTGTTCAACAACTGCAGGTTGTGAGTACCACTACATGCATATACATAATATCAGGAGCTAATAATGACAAATTATCTTTATTTTGACAATTTGTCAAATGACAATTTGTCATCATTAGCTCCTGATAATATGTATACAACATAATTTATACACACTGTCAATACACTGTGAGAACAAACGTTTACCACTAGAACACTAACCTCTTTCAATGGCACTTTCAGGGGAAGAAAACGAGTACCTGCGATTATCTTCCCAAATTCACTATAAGCTTCCCACCTAGATAAGAAAAAGTAATGCTCACTCAGTATGTAGTTTCACAAATATATTATCTACATACACTATATACATGAAATGCCTTACAATGGCTAACCCTGTTTCGATGAGCGCCACACAATCCTACAATGCAGAACTTTTGATTAGCTGTCATTCATCATACTAACACATTACGATTGTATTAGCACAATTATCACACAACTTCAGGGCAGTTTAGGGACAAGGTCAAAATTCCATGCCAAAGGGACAAGGAACACTGGCACGGAACAAAAAAAACTGGCATAAGCATGTTTCAAAATGCACTACCCCTGCACTAAGGCTATGTATGTATGGACTACAAAGCCTTGCATGATAAACATAGGTATACATTTGTTCATGGTTACAGCACACACAGGCATATATATGATATAGCTTATATTACCAGGGGAGGGCATCTCTACCGTTACTCCAATGAAGCCCAAGTTGTTTTAAAACTGTGAGTGTGAGTGCTAGTAGACATAAGAGCAGATGAACCAGACCCCAATGAAAGCGTCCACAGAGCCATATCACAAACACGAGATAGACCTCTTCCTAACCCTAGGTAACAGGAAGCTCAGATATCAGGAAATGTCATTCTTTAAAAGCAATGAGATAGGTCTAGCTGTCCTCAAGCCTCAATCTCCCAAGATGACCACCATCAGCAAAATAAAATCACTAGGAGATGTAAACAAACTACAAGTTCTCCAGGGACATGTGACACATCCGAGTAGTCTCTCAGCACAACTGGCAGATCTCGTGGTATAGCCACTATGTGATCTACAGGTGCAAAAAACATCTTATATTCAATTGGCAGGACAGTCGCCATCAAGTCTTAGATATAAGCTGAAAGGTTGGGCTTGTGTCATCTATAGAATGAAGTACTATGACAAGTCACGGTTCTGTGACCATTCGAATAATAGGACTTAGTGTCACGCTCCCGTAAGACATTGTCCAGTACAGTCAGCTAGCAAAAATTCTTAGTTGAACTCTAAAAACTGCTACTCTAACATCAAAACAGGAATGTTGGTCATACCTTGTCTTGAAAGCTTTCACTATTATGGTTACAGTTGACCAGCTACAAACGGAAAAAAACCCTCAATCTCTTGGAAGCCATCTTCAAGAAGCACCTCAATAGGAAGACTCCCAAAAAAACCACATGCTCATGAGGAACTAGTATGACATGCAGATTATGCAAGTGCCAGGCAGGCTACTCACACACGCTCTGACATAAGTTAAACCATCGCCATATATCCGGCTTCCATCACATCAGTAGCTCACGACTGCACTCACATTGCATTACAGAATGACATGGCTTCATATAACGTTATGTAGATACTCTGTCGGTTCCGATTTAGGCATTGCTGCTTTGCTAGGCAGAACCTCAACTATGAACCACACCAATGAGCCGTGGTATACGAGCCATGTGCATGCCACTCAACAACACAACCCACATTTAACCGATTGCCTTAGAATTCCCACAACAACTTGCTGGAATTCTGATGTTAAAATATAGCTCAGGACAGCAGTATCATGATAGGCCAGGGGCGTGTACAGAGGGGGGGTCCAGGGGGTCCGGACCCCCCCTGCTCGCGCAGAAAACGCATCTGAGGGGGTCTAATTTCAAAAGACCCCCCCTTCGCGTGCTCCCAAGTTTGGGTTACGGTTGGATCCCCCCCCCCCCTGGTACAAATCCTGTACAAGCCCCTGTAGGCATACTAAAGAACTGACCCCACCGGTATCCGATCAGCCTGTGCATAACTATGACCCTGATGTCAAGTGGCTGCAGCTCCATGCTCACACGAAGTTGCAAGCTCAGGTGGTGTGTATTGCAGGAAGATGTCCTTCACAAATGCTTATTGAGAAAAAGGCTGCCATCTCAGCGACTATGAATTAAGTCAGCAACATTGCAGCTGAAATGATTGAAGTTCAAGATACGCCAGTACCGCAAAGATCGGGCAGCTTGCAACCCGTCTGAGAGACTATAGATCTATCACTTGCAACCTCAACAGTGGACACTTACTACTTACTTAGCATACAATTGGCACGCGTAACTAATACTAATACAGTATTACTAATAGTAATACTATTTACCTACATTGTGACACATGTGAACATTTTTATTATGATCTTCACCAAAGGGGATTGCATTTCAATATTTGTTACGTAGTAATACTTACTATAGTATATAATAGTTATACTTACTAACTACTTAGTTATAGTATATTATAATAATACAAAGTAACACATCACAATAAACAATTTGACATGAATGCTTACCTATCAGGAATTCTCCCCATTCTAGAAAAGACGGTGCTGGGTAATCGATTTATTTACTAATAGTAATACTAATACAGGGGGAAAGGCACAATAATTTCATTCATATGGCATATGCTAGCTGACAGTGACACTAAAGGTGACAGTGTCAAAGTTGACAATGTCAATGACACTGGCAGTGACTGTGACAGGGAAGTCCCGATCCATATATCATATTATATTATAATTTTTGTGCTAACTCTCTTACTGGGAGTCTTGATGTCGATACTGTATCAAATACCGTTACGACACAGTATATTAAGTAAATCAATTAACAATTTAATCGCGATGGAAACATAGTGACTCTGTTTGAATGACCAAATACGGACTGTCGTCTGTCTGTCACGGTGTGGACATCTTAGATGATTCAGCAGCAGTTTCCACATCTAGACACTCGTCTCTAATTCCTAAAATTATATGTATATAAAAATTTACTAAATTATACAACAACTATTTTAACCATAAAAATATTACAAGTTTTTTAAATATTGTCGATTCATGACCTTATTTAATAATCCGTCACCACTGCCAAATTCACTTGAATAAATTATCAATGCAGTACAAGCTTCAGGTCACGTGAGTACAGCAGGAACTGGTGTAATGAAATTTTAGTGTTGAAAGTGAGAATAGGAAACATTTTCACTTGTATTTTATATTTTACGTTGTGATTTGAACAAGACTACCAAATTTTATTAAGTCATCGGACTATAACAGAAACGTGTCATGCTACCGTGTGGAGAAAGCAAATATTCTTCGTAAAAAGGTGTAGTTGTGGGAGTTACCTTTGCCTTTGGAGTTACGACATACATCCGTTTACTTACTTTACGTCTTTAGACTCTATTAGTATTAGTATTACTATTAGTATTAGTATTACATTAGTATTACTATTACTATTAGTATTACATTACGTCATTAGTATTACTATTACGTATTTTACTCTAAATTTACTGTGATACACACCTTAGTGTATAATGTATTTGTAGTATTGTACTGTAGACTGTAGTCAAGTGTATATTTATAACACGATTTATGAGATGATGTCCAGGACGGTGATAGGATAGGATGATGTTTATTACTGGACATGCTCTCTATCCTTGAGCCGGTAGTTCTGGGATAATACCGTACAACAAGGGAGCGGGCTTCGTTCTTCGCCCGGCTGTACCGAGATCGAAGGGCTACACACGAGTAGATCTAAGAATCTTTTTGTGGTAGCATAGTTAAACCAGGCGTTGAGGCTATCACAGTTGAGGTAGCTATGGTTGTGGGTATACACTGCACCAGCTATGTTCATGGCGATACTCAATACTCATACTCATAGGCTTATTTTGAGAGTGCAAATACTGTCACATACACATTTAGTCTGAAATATAGTAAAAGAAGCTGTTCAGCCTCATATTGCATACTCTGTAGCAGTATATAATAGCGCAGTCCAAGATTTCTCTGACCAATGCCCACACCGACGGTTTTGGTGGATTTGGTGTGGTTTAGGTCAGAGCAACTTGCCTATACAAAATGTGGAATTTCTCTGATTCCGCTGAGGATCGCTGTTTCATCGCTCCAAACTCACAATTGGTACTATCAATCAAGACCTGACGCGCAAGTCACCAGTACACGCGCACGTCACCTGACGTCACGCATTGGACGATGGATGGCCGATGTCGGAGGGAAATTGTTAGCAACAAATTTTCAAATCGAAATACGACTAAGGTAAAAGAGTACAAGTGTACTTATCAACGCGAGCAAGCATATAAGTTATCCAGTTTTTGATCTATGTGCGTCAGGTCTTGATTGATAGCCCCAATTGTGAGTTTGGAGCGATGAAACAGCGATCCTCGGCGGGATCGGAGAAATATCACGTTTTGTATAGGCAAGTTGTTCTGACCTAATCCACACCAAATCCACCAAAATCGTCAGTGTGGACATTGGTCAGAGGAATCTCGGACTAATAGTAGCGCTGATAGGGTCTATGTCCCCCAGGGTACTATCGGAGGGTACCCTGGGTACGGTTCGATATATCGGAAAGTACCTCGGGGTACTAAACGATATGTCACTGCGTACCCTGCATTGTCCCACCGTACACTGACTTGTAACCGATGTATTTCCGATGTTGTAAAACTAAAATATAAAAGCTAGCTATTCGTTTAAAAATTAAGGAAAAAGAAAAATATAGTCAAACATAGCATACATTTTTATTGGATTCAGGGTTCTCCAAGAGCACTTATAGCCTGGCGGTCCGCCAGGCTATCGTCAAGCCCCGTCATCCTAAAATGCACCCGCCACTCTAAATATCATAGCCGCCATGCTAAATATCATAGCCCCCGGACCCCCTAGCACGCAAACCACCTTCGGCGATTTGCAACTAGGACCGTAAAGGCAGCACCCGCCATGCTATAATGAAAAAGCTTGGAGAACCCTAGGATTGCGATGTTTTGAGGTTTCTTCTATGTGATGTGGTAACTTGACAGAGTGGATGTATTACGACATCAGTGGCTGAAAGTCAGGGTAGGGTGGGACAATTTAGGGTACGCAGCGACATATCGTATAGTACCTCGAGGTACTTTCTGATATATCGAACCGTACCCAGGTTACCCTCCGATGGTACCCTGGGGTACATAGACCCTATCAGGTATAGTAGCTTGCTGATGCTTGTTAATGTTGAGTATATATATATGTTATTGTATTGCTATTGAGACTATCTCCATCCTCAGCAACTGAGCTCCGCGATTTCTTTGCCAATTATTAATAGCAGCAGCGAACCCAGTTGTACATCTCCGTAGGCTTCTGCTTACAAACATACTAATTGTAATGTGAGTTCATCAGACTAATAGTTTGTTTTATTTATTATAGTTTGCAGGGCTTCCATTGCCCTCAGCATCATACGAGTAGAGTTTTCCACCGACAATGGAGTCCAGTGTCATGAATTGGGGTGCACGAAATTGGAAGCATAGAGAGCGTAATTTGGTGTCGGCAGCTTGCACCGTACTAGTGCTGGCTATGTTATCTGTTGCTCTGGCTCAAGATCGATGGTTCTGGCTGAATGGAGGTGGCTGTGACACTTCCAAATTAGGTATGTCAGGAATTGTGGAATAATGTTTGTAAACAGTATTTCTGTAATTGCAATTAATACTGAGTTATAATCATTGCTCATGTTTACCAATAATTCATTCCCATTTTGGTGGGCTCCAGTTGTATTATGTAGAAAGTTTATTGTTACAGACGGCGAGACCAATATATGTAGATATGGATTGCATATGATTCACATTTTAAACTGTACAAAGAGGTATTGCTATAAGTACTTAACTCCAAACTGACATGAGACTAGGCTCAACTTATTATTGTGGTAAGTTGTAAGTACTGGGGATTAACGCATTATCTATGAATGAATTTTATTGATTGACATCCATAATAGCAAGAACTGTTACTAATGCTGAGATGGTTTTTTAATTGACAATTTTTCTACAGGTGTGATCGAGTTCTTAGGTGGACACTTCATAATAAACACAGAGGAACACACAACATTTTATAGTGCAAAAAATGAATGTAAGCAAAACTAATCAAGAAATGTGCACTTATATATATATATATTAAGTATATTAGATACAATTTGATTAATGATATATAGCTAACAATTTGATTTCTTGAAGTGTGTTTCCTTAGTAGCAAATTAATACTAAAACTGTAGGGAGACATAAAAAATGAATTGTTATTATAGCTAAAAGACCCTATCCCTCTGTGGGTAAAAACAATGGAGACTTTTTTGCATCGTTTAGGGTTAGGGTTAGATGTCTGTTCTGATAGTACCCAGGGTGACCCTTTCAGCCTTGCAATAGAGAAAAATAGTACAATTTCGTGGATTAAATCGACGACTTTACACAAGGAATCTGCCTGTAATGTCACATTTTTCACATTTAATGTTGACGTAATTATCAAAACTTTCGGCACGTAACTTTGCAGTCTGTCGTAGTCTAATGCTACTCTGCCGTGTGATATCGTAAGATGTTACTGTGCTGGGTGGCCAGGGGCGTGTACAGGATTTGTACCAGGGGGGGTCTAACCGTAACCCAAACTTGTGAGCATGCGAAGGGGGGTGGTCTGGGGGCCCTCCCTCCGAAAAATTTAGAAATTAGACCCCCTCAGATGCGTTTTCTGCACGAGCAGGTGGGGGTCCGGACCCCCTGGACCTCCCCCCCCCTGTACACGCCCCTGGTGTCATTCTGGAATGTTACACTGCAGTGTGTGATAGCATGGTCTTACACAGCCGTGTGTCATTGTGGCATGTTACACTCCAGTGTCTTATCTCTGGTTGTTAGACCGTCAGGTGATATCGCAGGATGTTATCTCGCCGCGCGTAACTCTGCCATGCCTTATTCCCTTGCAGTGCTGACGGACTGCGTTACGGAGTCGATCGTGAGGCAGATGCGCGTCGTCATAGCGATGGTGCACATCAGCATCTGCTGCAGCCTCTTCACGTTCGTCGTGGATACGGTCGGCGTGACGACACGCCCGCTGAAACTTCTGCGCAGGATGGCGGTGGGAAGCGTCGTTACTGGTGAGTAAGAAACGATCGAGATCCGTTCTGCTAACTTACCCAACACCATGGCCTGTTTACTATAATGAACGGGACGAGCAGCTGATAGTTTCTGGTTGTTCCCTCCGCCAAGGAGGTAATGTAATCGGTCTCATGTGTGTGTTCGTGTGTGTGTGTGTGTGTATCCAGTCCGCGCGGCGCGATCAATAGCGCGTCGAGGAGTCAGCGAGCGGGCGGCGCGATCGATAGCGCGTCGAGTCAGCGAGCGGGCGGCGCGATCGATAGCGCGTCGGGTTAGCGAGCGGCGAGTCAGCAGCAGGCGAGTGAGTCAGCAGCAACCACCAGTGAGCGGCGAGTTAGCAGCCGCCACCAGCGAGCGGCGAGCCAGCTCGTAACACATACATGTTACATGCTGGCGGAGGTATGCACTCCGTGAGTGCCCTCTGTCTAGTTTGTGATGAAGTTCGGTTGGCTTAGATAACCGGATAACCGCATATGTTTATTTGATCTCAATGTGACCATGGCATGTGTCTTGAACATTGTTAGAATCTGTGTGATTTGTCTAGTTCCTCCTCTGGCTAGGGGTGAGGGTGGTAGCGAAACTATGAATAGGAGTTGGTTAGAGAGGTCGATGGAATGCAATGTTATCATTGTTTTCGTGATACTCGACCTTGTCATCGATAAATGACGTTCATTTTTCATCGATAAAGGGCGTTCCTTTTATCCGTGATTCAAAATCTTGGGACAGAGGACATAATTGACCTATCTGTGTGAGTTAGATGACCTTGACCTCGTGGGTATTGTTGCTGGGCTGGTAAAGCACACGTTTTCCAACACGTGTACAGCTAATTGTTGACCTTGTCTCACATCGTCACTTAGCAATGTTTTTAGAACTCTGGAACTTGGAATGCTGATTTGGTATATTAATCACTCCAGGTGGATTGCTCAGGTTACAAGCGTGTGTGCTGTTTGCTTTTTAGTGCTGGTTTGCTGTACTATATGTGGCTTTTGCTACTGGATCACAGTGCTACTTGGCGAATGGCAGAAAACAACAATGCCGAGCTCCAGCTACAAAGTTACGATTCGCTTTGACATTGGATTTTACCTGACCGCCGGTGCTGGGACTCTCTCTGTGATAACTACGGCCACAAACTCGTTGAAACGGTAAGTGCATGTTGCGTGTGTGTGTGTAATGGAAGCCACGATTATCTCTATGGGGTGTAGAAATCGACTAAGTAGATGGTAGATGTGTATTATTTGTATTATTGGTATTATGCGTATCGTTGTTATACGCATTATCAGGAGTCTATCAATAGGAGTAAGACAGACTGAAACCGGAAAAATTCAACATTTAGTAGCTTTAGTCTACCTATGATTTATTGTGTTGAACTCGATAAACTTGAGCTCAAGTGTTACCTTAATCATTAAACTAATTTACTATCAGCAAGTTTTCCTCACTTTCCTCTGTAGACATGTGAGTGTAGTGGCATCTCTGCCAGATGCCTTTGTGATATAACATATCTATGCAGGCAGTCACTGACTCACTGATACGTGAATCGCGAATACAGACTCGCGCGCACGTGTATAAGTAAGTTGCGCTTCTCTATAGTTTGATCTCGCACTTTTCCGTAGGTATCCTTCGGATGGGGAGGACGATCAAGCTCTGATGGATAGCGAGCTATCACCGGGTATGAGTCACCAGACGGAATCATCCTTGCAAGTACTTCCCGCTGCTGCACCCCCGCCTCCCTACACACCCTGATTTCTACACTTACACCCCCCCACCCTTCCTCCTAGATCTGACGGCCTCCTTGACTCCCTTATAGGCCTAGTTCTCCCTACCCGCACTCATTGATCTCTCGCCCTTTCTTATAAACTTTGATGCCTTGTCTGTTCAAAATGTTGTGAATCCACTCTCCCTATAAATCCAGATCCTCCATCCTTACATCCCGGTGTGCTCTGCTCACCTACTTTCTGTATCCTTGTGTCCTGTGATCCCTTCTGTTACCGTTGATGTAATGTGACACCATTTCCCGAGTGAATGGCTCTTCAGGCACGTGTTTTTCTTGGTATATTATCATTTCTATTGCACGTGCCTACAGCAAAGATCTGTACGAAATTCGGAAGCATTCGCGTGTGTACCCGAATACTATATATATTGCGTACTAAATGTGAGACATTTAGTCAGTGTCTGTTGGACAGGAATAGCTTAGGTTTCTGAGCTTCTGCTGGTGTTCGGTCGTAGCCAGTTATAATATAATCACCTGTTAATGCTACACTAATACTGCAGAAGGGTAGCTATTAGTGAATTTCAGCCACACTGGCAAATTCGACTGCTTCTGCTTAAAAGTTGTGGGATATTGGGACTATTGCTGCAGTTACAATCTCCCAGTACACATACCAGTGAAGTTTTGTATATGATATACATGTATGTATATAAAAATATTCTGTAAATAGTTCTGTAAATTATGGTATGTAGTTTCGTCAGTTTAATGTCGTTAGGTGGGAAGAGAGAGAGAGAGAGTAAAAGGATGCATGTGTTCACAACTGTGGTGTAGAGAAAAACTGAGCAAAGATTCGCAGTTTTTGGAATCTGGAGACCATCAGTTCTTGTTTTACGGGAGCGATACGAGATTGTATGAACTAAGCTCTAATTTGTGACGTCCCTGTTTTGTTATCATCAAGTTGAATGAAATAGTAATCCCCTGTCGATTTTAAGCTAGACAAGTCCTTGGTCATGAAAGGCGCTCAAATAACATCACGTGGTTGCAGGCGTGTCGCTCTGTTGATGTGATGCACGTTTGCATTTAATTCCGCATTGAACAGACGTTAGATATTTTATTATAACAGAAGTAGCAGTGGAAAAAAACAATGCAAATAGAAGCCGTAGGTTTTGTTATAGTGACATACTACCGTTAAACATATTTCACTATTGGACTTCGCAATAAGAGACTAATGTACATTAGTTAGCTTCAAGGTGCAACAAGTTACATGAATTTACATGCATCTACAATGTAGCTACTTATGTAATTCTATCTAGGTGTACATGTGGTAATTCACATGCATGCATGCATGCATACATATTTGTGGGGAATTCCTACTTTGTTGATCAAAAGCATGCCAGTTACTGTTGTTTATAATTTATTGGATCAATTATTGTGTATAATATGGACACTTGTAATTTATGCAGTGTCTCCAGTAATCGGATAAATCTAGGAAAATAAAAAGTAAACTGTCAAGAGATATGAGATGTTATCCGTTGTGTTTTACAGAGGCGTAAATTATCAGCATAGAAGTCCGTCGACATCTCAAAGTATCAGACACATAATATTTATGCAAGTAACAGATAATAAGTCGCATTTATTTCAAATGAACATCTGCTCTACCATATTTACAAAACCCGTTTGCCTTATCACTGAGGCAGATACGGTGTAATAAAAACATCTTACAAATTCCTAATTCTAATAAACCCACCAGCACTAATTGTAACAAGCCCAACTGCACACTTATATATATATTCGGATTGACTGCCAAGCACCTACCCGTTACATGTGCACCTTGCATATAGAGATATTAAACCACCTAATAGTCGACATCCTTATTGATGGCACTGGGAACTTCATAGTCGATTTTCGCTCCTTCCATTACCTTTTCAAGACAATGGAAAGTAGGACCCAGAGAGATAACGGATATATATAGTCAAAAACCACAACTTAATGATAATACAAACACAGAGCAGAATCTTTAACCCCAATAAACCTTTTGAGATATGCTTCTAGAGAAAATTTTAGACCTTGTAGCCAGCTTGGCTTTTGTATTTGTATTAAAGGTGCCTTCCCACGAAATTTCAAGCAGCAAACATAAAATCAGGTAAAATTCGTTCAGTTAAAGTGTAGTGAGTTATTTACTTGCGTTTTTACAGTGGTTTGTTACCAAAGTGTGCGTGGGAAGACATCTTTCATAAGTATTCAATAAATATTAATTTAAAATCACTCAAAATGATATGGTCGACCTGATAACAAGTACTGGAAATAAAGAATACACGCTTATTCAAAAATTGGCCAAGCATAAGTAAATAGCTTCGTTATATAAATAATCTGGACTATAAGAAGAAACGAACCTGATGTACACTGAATTAGTACTAGCTTTCAAAAATAAAGCTACATTACCACAGAAGTAGATGTTAGCTTATTTTACAAATACGGCGTTAAGTGTGTGCATAACGATATGATTCGTTCAATCCCAATATGAACGAGAGCATACAGCAAGTAGCTAAAATGCCACTTGCAATACAGACGGAAAACTCAGCAGCACAAAAGACTGTCAAATACGTATACATGTCATGCTAGATCCTGTGCTGCATGAAAGGGCTTGGTCCAGCAAACCACGGAAACCACAAAGAGCAAAGATCAAAGTTTGCTTGCACAGTTATGCATTGACTCACGAAAGCACGTGGAGAATCAACAAACCTTCCCTATTAAAAACCAGCGGCACTCACAATACAGGTTAACATTAGTAGTCTAGATGGAGACATCAGAGCAAGAGCGTATAAAGAAGGAGAGCGTACAACGGTGAAATGCTGGAACCATGTTGCAGTATTAGTCGAATTAATAAACTTTCCCCGTTTTATTTTGACGATTCTTTGTTTGTGTTATTTGATAGTATAATTGATCAGCTGTCCTACCTTGTTAATATAAAACAAACCGCATGTCCCTATGATGCCTCTACGCTGAGATAATGAGCAGTGAAAATCTGGTATTTTCGCCGAAAACCGACTCGAGATCAGAAACTGTCTCTCGTTTTGTGGAATGTATGTTGCATCCGGTCGCTGCTGTGTAGCGCCGACTCGATACGTTATTACTACAGCGTTACTACATCCAGCGTAAGGGGCAGGTCATCACCATGGCGATAAATAACAAGACGCTTTTGTATAGTAATGGCTGCGTCAATGACTGGAAATGCGAGAAAAGATAGTAGAAGGAAAAGAAATTTCATTGTCAATTCGAGGTTTCCCGAAGCTATCGCCAGAACGAGAGACAGTTGCAGTAAACACTGATCTCGAGTCGGTTTTCGACGAAAATACCAGATTTTCACCGCTCATTATCTCAGCGTAGAGGCATCGTAGGGACATGCGGTTTGTTTTATATTAACAAGGTAGGACAGCTGATCAATAATACTGCAAAGAATCGTCAAAATAAAACGGGGAAAAGTTTATTAATTCGACTAATACTGCAGCATGGTTTCAGCATTTCACCGTTGTACGCTCTCCTTCTTTATACACTCTTGATCAGATTCATGCAGTGGGAGCAGGCTGTACTATACTAATACTATTGATACACCTAACTTTTGCTGCCTAAATGAAACAACCACTTGTAGACATCGTCATTTAAGTCTAAACTCAAAATCAAAACATGGCAATACTGCTAAAATCATATGGCATATGAAATGTGTTGAATGGAAATCAGAGGATTTCACAACTTCATACTTGCTAAACTACTCGCTGCACCACAACTTCAACCACACCAGCAGGCATCCGACACTATTGCATTTCGATTTGCATTTTCTGTATAACTTGCGAGTCGGGGAGCACTACCGATTAAGCTGCCTTTAATTGAATGCTAAAGCTGGCCCGGTGCCCCCAAGCAAGGCTAGTGGTATACACGTGTTCGGTATGGCAGATAACCAAGCTACGTGTAGCACAATGCTTTAATATCTATCTGCGTGCTTCAAGGACAGGGTAACTAGAAATGCCAGCATGAAAGTAGGTCAAACCCTGTCACCCTAGGTATGTCACAAAACGGAACGCTACGTCTACGCTGTACGATCGGGGGATATGTAGAAGTAGGTCACTTAATTTTGTACATTGCATACTATATTGCATACGAGATCCCTTTGCTAGTAAATTATTTTCTAATTAGCCATTACAAACCTGTCCTAATCATTCTAAAATGCACATGTATGCAGAAACCTTACGAATTGTTCAATTGTTCACCACGTCTGAAGAAATTACTTTGGGTAAGAGAAATAAATATCAGACATTGACATCAGTTTCCCCACCAGAGAACACCTTTATAAGGAGAATATTCATTTTGTTTTGAAGCTTGTGAGATTGGAATGGGATTTCCAACATCATTGGCTACACCTAGTCGTCACCATCACTGAATCACAACCTAGTCAGCCATAGGATTTGTTACAACTGGTCACGCACATCCACTGGTTACATATATGGTCATCCAGTCCTTCTAACAGTATTCCACATCACTGGTTATATCTGGTCACCCACAGTATTTCTTATATCTGGTCACCCACAGTATTTCTTATATCTGGTCACCCACAGCATTTCTTCTATCTGGTTCTGAACACCACAGGTCTGCAGTCTCTCTAGTACTGCCATCCACAGCACCTCTGCAAGGGCCTCTAGCCATAGCTCGCCCACGTCAGGGGGCACCGAACACCTGTATCGCCACGCTCACGACTTCTTATCCGCGCTTGCCGCCATCGCTATAGTCCGCACGCGCAACGTGCTGTGGATGTCTGCGGGGCTGAGATACGCCGTGTCAACCCCGCCGCCGCCGCCGCCGCCGACCGCGCGATTCTGCGCGATCGTGTATTTGAAGAACTCGTATACGGACCACGCGATCGCCGTCGCCGGCATCTGGAAGACGACGCGTGCGGGAAGGCCGCGGAAGAACCCGGCGAAGCCTTGCATCTCGTACACGGTGCGAATCGAGTCGACGAGTCCGCGCACGAGCCGGTGCCGGTGCGCCACCGCACCGTCCTCCTGCGTATTGAGCAGCGTCTTGCACACGTCGAGGGGCGTCGTTGCGGCGGCGGCGATTCCGCCGGCGACGGCGCCCGACGCGCCGTGCGTCAGTGGGTTGTACTCGCGGTGTTCGTTCATCAGCTCCTGCATGCACTCGTACGTGGCGAAGTGCAGCGCGTGGAACGGGATGTTCATGACGAGCTGCGTCGGGTAGGAGCGGTAGAACGCGCGCGGGCCCTCGCGCCACATCACGTCCTTCACGCAGCTGCTGACCGTGCAGTACGGACTACCGTACACCTGCATGCGCTGCTTCACAACTGTCAAGACAAAAATCACGAGCGTGAGACAATAGACGGAAATCAAGACTACTAATTATTAACTAAGTAATATTCATTAAAAATCTATGACTGTATCAATCATTATTAATTATTAGTGCATCACGTGATAAATCGTTGAAATTCCATTGGATAACGCAGCAGGCACTATGAAGCAATAGTGC